TCCCTCAAAATGGCCATAGAATCGCGAGCTGTGTGGCATGTAGCGCCATCTTGTTGAAACCACATGTCAACCAAGTTCAGTTCTTCCATTTTTGGCAACAAAAAGTTTGTTAGCATCGAACGATAGCGATCGCCATTCACCGTAACGTTGCGTCCAACAGCATCTTTGAAAAAATACGGTCCAATGATTCCACCAGCGTACAAACCACACCAAACAGTGCATTTTTCGGGATGCATGGGCAGTTCATGATGAAATGTCAAAGCATACTGAGCATCTTTCTCTTTGACACCATGTCTGAAATCCCACGTGATCTGTCAAATACTAATGCATGAAAATCCTAACCTCAAAAAAATCACCCGTTACACACAAATTGGATAATGGCGTCTGGAGAACAAAATCAAAATTAAAATTTGTGATCCAGTGTTACATGTGTGTGCATCCCAGCCAGCAAAACATCCGAAAATTAATCCGAAACGGAAGGGAAAAGTGTATAAAATGCGAATTTTTCTGTGTTTTCCGTTTCAATTTTCGGATATTTCGACGATACATCTCCCCACTACAATGTGCGCCAGAAAAGTACAGAAAATGGTTCTGAAACGGTTACGATTTGGGATGCTTTTCTAAAATCAGTCTGAATACGCCTTGTTTCTGCACTTCACAGATGCTTTTTCATAGTTCAGAAAAAAATAAAACTATAAATAACCAATCTTTTTATTGCGACTGAAGACATTCGAACCCGGGACTTCGCGAAAGCTATTAAACTCAACTACTGCCCAATACGTATGCATATTGTCAAATGTTCAGATTGAACAATTATTTTAATCCGGATACGAAAAATTTATCAAAATTGAACACGTTTTCAGTAAGTTTCAGAATACTGAAAATTTACAAAAACTTAACGTGCTGCTGGCTGGAATGTTTGGCGAGTGCTTTTATTACACTGGAGAACTGAGTAGAATTAGAATTTTATGAAGTTGATGCGCATTTAACTAGACTGCCTATTAGAGTATTCGAATATTCATTTTTTTCCAAAACCGGGTTTCGATTTATTAGAAAAATTTCAAGTGGAAAAAACCCGGTTCCTTATTGTGAAATTAAGAAACCACCGGATAAACCGGTTTTATTTTTCATAATTTTCATACAGTTAAATTGGTGGAGTTCAATAAGGCCCCCGAAAATAACGCGCATGGGCTATATTTCCCAAAAAAGAGAAATAAAGCCCATTGGCGTTATTTACATTTCGAAGGGGAAATAGCTCCCACCAGTAAAAGGCAATAAAGCCCGCGGACTATATTTCCTTTGCGAAAGAGCAATAATAGCCGTGGGCTTTATTTCCCAAAGAAAAAGAAATAACGCCCGCTTGATTTATTTCATAAAAAAGGAAATAAAGCACGTGAGTAGTGCTTTCTGTGGCTTTATTTTACTGAAACATTCCAGTTATGTATACAGGCATACATTTGCTAAAAGGGGACGTATTTTAAACGAATTGCCCTCTATTTTTGCATACAGTGTAGTTCTGCCTTAAATTCCCTTGTAAAGTATACGCATCAAATCGAACGGTATTTTTGCCAATAACTGAAAAGCAAATTATTGGAAATTAAGGGTAAATCGTTACCGTTTTTTAGCCTTCAATGGGTTTTCAGGGATGGCGCGCAAACGCGGACGGCCGCGGCGAGTGCTTTTGCCGTCGTAGTCGAGTGCTTAGATGTGCCTATTGCTACTCGGGTGGTCCATGATTCAGCAGTCGTCTCTCGACAGACAAAAACAAACCTCCGGGTGTAAAAAAAAAGCTGGCATAAAAAGCTTTTTCAGAGGTGGTGTAAAAGTGTATATCACTCGATTTGTGTCCCAACGTCAAGAAGCAGAACACACCTTGGTGGATAAGCTCGGCCAAACACGCAGAAAACGTTTAAGCGCTAATCATTCAGTTATTGCAATCAAATATGATGTACTGTTCATCCCCAACTAACCTAGGATGTAATTTTAAAACTATTCAGGGGTTTCCCTTAAACTGGAAAAGCCTGGAAAAGTTAGAAAAGTTCAAAGCTTTTATTGAAAGATCAAAATTTTCATGAAATGAAAAACTGGTTTGTTCAATCAAAAAATTCAGTTAATTCGATATTCGAAATATCAAGATTATAAAAAACCGCCTTTAAACATTCTGCCTTAACCTGAGTTTCGCCTGAAAAAAAATTCACCCGAAATTGGTCATCCGCTCATAGTAAAACCATGGAAACCAAAAGTAAAAAGAGAACCGGTTCGGGGAAAATGAAAGGCTGATTAAAAAACAAAAAACGGTGGAAACCGGTTTGGAAAAACCGAGTAAATCACCCTAATACATACATTTCAAGAAGCAATTTCTCCTTATTTAATATTGATATGATGGAAAAGGTTCAACTTACGACTAAAATTATTTTAGGAAAATGCTAAGTGCTTAGGAAAAAATGCTGAAAAAATGGCTGTTTGTCTCACTAAGAATATTATAATTTTATTTTTACAAGCCCTAAGCTTTCATATTCGTTTGCATAATTTAATATTTGCCATGGTGGTGACGAATATAGATTTCGGAACTTTACCAAATAAGAATTTCGAAAAAATTCGCTTTTGCTATGAATGCCAAAAAAATAATCAGTATTTCCTTCTCAAACCAGTAAATATAAAGTTTTTAAAAGTCGTGTCTCTTTTATTTCAAAATCTAAAAATAACTTTTATTTACAGGTTCGGAATAAATAAATAAGTGGTAAACACTGAAGTGAGATGATATGCCCGTATATTTCAGTAGGGAGCAGTGGTGTAGTCAGAATTTTGGGAGGGGGGATGATGCAAATTTATAACGATAAGCGAAAATTGTAGCTAAGATACAGGGTAGAAGCCTAATCGCCAAAAAAGCGTTAGGAACATTTTTCTTTTCAAAATTTGATTTTTGATGCGGAAATGTTCCTAGAGCAGCAAGGTACATTTCTGCATTAAAACACAATTTTGAAAAAATGTAGCTTACATCTTTTTGGCGGTATTCAACAAATGAACATTATTTCAAGCAACTTTCTTAAACAAAACTTATTATTTTCGGCGATAGGTATAATTTATTTCCTTTTTTGTTACATTTAAAATCGTAACGTTAAACCAAACCTGATGCAGGCAGAGCTGCGGAAAAAGCTAGTCTTAAATACTTATATAAAGACATTTTGTAGTAAGTCTGAAAAAATGTATAAATTAAAAGTATAAAATAGTTCATTAACGAAGGAGGTTTTTGCGCCTCTAGACACGCCAATCCCCCTTCCTACGCCACTGGTAGGAAGTCCTAGACTTTACAACACATATGAAAATAATATGAAAGCAGATCCCTGCAGTCTACAAATACATGCTTACATCTTTCCATAAATATTCCTATTATTTGTAGTCATTCCTCTTGTTTACCAACCGCATTTCGTACAACGTACATCTTTATGGAAAATTTTCACACTTTTCCAACGCATCATTAGTGCGAGTAAACATGTCAAAGTTTATCAATTCATATGTACAATAACAATGCAAAATGATATTCGAAGGCAATGTTTATCTGTTGCTGACAGTGCGCGCCGTTGGAATTATTGCTACACAGTTGAGCCACCACCACCACCACCATAGGTGTAGAGCGAAAGCAACTGGACTGTGTATTAAAAATAAGTTAATGCCTTGTTCAGGGCCGGCTTTAGAAGCAATGCCGCCCGGGGCGTAAGTGCAACGAAGCGCCCTTTGAATTCGTTTAGAATGCTTCGTTTTTGTGCCAGATATGCGTATGTTTCCGCAAATACAAAGCTCTTATTTCTGTAGGTGGATAGAAATGCAGCGTAATTCCCCATCGACGCAGTGGCTGCAGCGCAGTCCATGGTTGTACTCTGCATTGATTTACTCGTGAGATTGACCTGGAATGGGTGTCATACGAAACAGTCAGAGAATTGAGAAATTCAAATCGCATCATTTTGTCAGCCAAGCATTTGGCTTCATGTAGGATAGCAGGATATTTCAGATCAGAGGTAAAGAAATTTTTCCTAAATTTCTTTCGCCTGATATTTAATGACTTTAACCTTGTCCAGTCTGTTTTTCCAACGACTTGTGCATAATGGTTTGACGGTGGGATTTTGGACATGATTTTTGAAATTTGTCCACCTCTGGGTAGATGCTCAGAATAGAAAGTAAATGCGTTGAACTACACCAAAAAAAGTTATACATGTTCTGGATGAAGAACACCAAATTCAAGGTATGTCATTCCCATTGTATAAATGGTACTCTCGCATTTAGTTCGAGAACCCCGGCTTGATCTCCTTTGTTTTGTAAATAACTGATATTAATGTTTTTGTTTTCGAGAGTTTCGAGTAGAAGATTAGTCAGTTCCCCACCCGACGATGGAGAAAATTCACATTCGAAAATTTTATGCACTAAAAATTAAACGTAATCTAAGAACTTTGCGCCCCCCTCAATTTGGCGCCCCCCTCAATTTGGCGCCCAGGGCAACTGCCCCTACCGCCCCGCCCTAAAGCCGGTCCTGGCCTTGTTATAACATGATATGGATGATTTTCTTATACGAGTACGTAGCTGGGGGTGACTGATGCGCAGGCTGAATATTTGATGTCTGGCTGGCAAATAGTAGGCAAATGCAAAAAGTGCTGGCTGCTATTTACATAGAATACAGAACGTGCAACAAATGGAATTATCAAATGCCTGACAGTTAGCTAGAGCAATTACTAGAGATTAATTGACTACTCAGCTGCATAGCTGACCGGATAGCCACCTACCATGCAACATTGCTGCCAACACTCTTCAATCGTCCTCTGAGGCTACTGATGTGAGATCTCTAACAGCCATCATTCCATCGGCGCAATAATGCAATGCTCGGACGCTGCTTTTAGTTGTTCTTTTTTTACATAAAAATGTATTTGCAACTTTATTACCCCAGTCGCTCCATGATAATGTTGTCTTTGTTATTGCAATTGCAGCTGTTTTTAGCTATATGCACGCTGTTGTTGTTGTTGTTGTTGCAGCAACTGTCACAGTTGTCGGTAGCTATTTTTAGGCATTCACACATCATTAATTCGTGCAGTCCAAATAGAAAATGCTACGCTTGGCAGCCAATCAACGCTCGAACGATCGGCCAGTCGACTTTCCGCTCGAAGACAAAGTCGCCAATTGCCAGTGGACTGGTGCGCCACCCAGCCAAATAGCTGGCTGTAGTAGCTACATGCATGTGGCATTCGAAGCGTTTTGCTGTTTCGCCATTTCGCTGGTATGCCACACGACACCAGCCATGAGCCATCAACTAGCAGCCAGCAACCAGCGGCCACCTAGTTATGGGTGCAACATGAAAACAAAAACGAAAAGCTGTTCAAAGGCTACATAAATTGGCGTTTTTTTATTACTGTTTTTCAAGTAATCATTTCGTTTATTTTTCGCGCTTGCATTTGCGAATTGCACCAGAGTGTTGTTCATGGAAAAATATTTGCGCGTAAATAAATGCATATAATGCTGCGGTTGCTAGGCATCAGGCATTTAAGCCCCAGCCGTGCTCTTAGGCCGCATTGCAATGAGTTCGATCTCAATCGCTTGCATTTTCACTAAATGCCCATCTTTGGGCGCAATTACGCGCAACGCTTATCACTCGTACGCATTTGCTTATCACAAGCTGCAAATAATTATTTCTGTTCAGTTGCCATTAAAATAAGCCTAGTAATTTTCCATTGCGCAAGTAAATAAGTGAAAGTGTATTCGATTTTGTGCAAATGCGTAGTTTTCAATAATTCAGGAATATGTAAAAAATGTAATCTATAACTTTCGCAAGCCCTTCAGCATACTGGACATTCGCTGGGGTATTTATTGAGCATCACTACGCAGATCTACGCGGTAGATTGGGTGGCTAGCCTTTGACATAGTAAATAGTAGATTTCCAGAAGGCAAATCGAATTGTATGGAAATGTCGCACTATGCTGGCGTCACTGAGCCGTATCAACGTCACGCTGGGATCCCGGAAATAGCATTGAAGGGAGTGGTCGGCTGATGAGATGGCCGGATGCGGCTCAGAGATGCCAATAGAAGAAGCGGATAACTCCGTACTACCATCGTTAAGGGGTCACGTTAGGAAAATTGATGAGTACACCGTGGCCGCGACGAACGATGGGAAAACTGTGAGACCGCAAAATTATTATGGTCGCGGCTTAGTAGGAAAAATAGAAGGGACATGCTGAAACTCAATAGGTCTGTAGTAAGAGTCCTTACCTGCACCATCACAGGACACTGTACTATAGAACCAATGCTTCAACGGTGGCGAATATCAACAAGTACTCTCTGCAGAGGCTGCCATTATGAGGATGAGAAAGAGCCAATTGAACACTATCTGTGTCCATGTCCGGGTCTACTGACGAAGCGACTCAAGCACTTGGGTTCACGCTTCTTCAACAATTTAAGCGCGGTAGCGGAGGTGGAACTGTTGCATCTCCTTGACTTCATCAGAAATAGTAATTGGTTCAGTAGAATAATGACTTAAAGCTACTATGTCGATTATAGGTACGTGTCGCGTCCTGACACTCACTTAGAAAGGACACTCACAATGGAGAATTCAGTCTCCGATTAAAAGTATGGAATATTCCACACACGCCCTCCTAACACCCTCCTAAGTCAATCTAACCTTTTCCCACCCTTGGATTCGATGACAAACCTGGTCTAAGCCCTCTCCAGCCAAATAACCGAATGTCTCATGTCAAAAAACTGCCTCCAAAAGACCTAGCAGCCCGTCAATAATAAAGTGCTGGTAATGTCAGCTACGGTCATTTCTTGAAAAAAAAAAACAAACAACTCAGCACACCTACACACACTCACTGAAATGTAAAACAGGTAGCAAAAAATAAAAAGTGACAGCTCGACCACTGGCGGCTGGCAAAGGCTGCTTTGCGCTGATTAATTAAATCTTAAACCGTAAAAAAAAAATCAGTGGCTTTCTTTGTTCCGCAATTTTGAGCGATACAAATAAGCACAGAACGACAAAAAATATAAACTCACGTTAAATAAAAATTACAATTGCATTTTGCTAAAAAAAAAAATTCCCTCCTTTTTTACTCTTTAGAATTATATGCTGAAGCACTTTATGTAATTGCGTTTGAAATTGACATTCTCGAGTGTGCTGAAATTGTCATTTGTGATTGCTGCAACCGGATTCTTGTTAACTTTTAAGTGCATAATTTGAAGCAAATGCTTGTCTTTTTTCTTTTTCTTTTTAAATTTAGCTGTCCATAAATGGTTAAGTAATACCAAAGCGGTAAATATAAAAATAAACAAAAAACATGGAACCAAAACCAATATCAAATTTAAAAAAGTGGTTAAAGGAATTTCGCCGCATTTGCCACACCTTTTACATTGACATTCAAATTTCATTGTTTTTTTTTTTATTTGTTCGTCACCCATTAAATGTCATCGCATCGGGTGTCAAGAATTTGAACAAAGTAAATCAATAAATATGAGCTATCCGACAATCGATGGTAATTTAATGCGAACTTGCATTTTACACATTTTATTATGCACAGATATGCATTATTTGATTATTTGATACAGCATACATATGTATTGACAGGCATATACACTAGGTGACAAGTGAAAGTATATACTTTGTTCAAATATAATATTCATAATTATTTTCTCGAAATTTTTTTTTCATTAATTATTTATGAAAATATAGTTCATTCTATCATATAAACCATATACATCAAAGTTGCTTTATATAAAATTCACCAAAAATCAAAAAAATTTTATCAAAGTTTTTAACTTTTTATTCATAATTAGAAATACTTTAGTCTAATAAAGTGCACATTTCAAACGGATAAAATATACCGTTGATTTTTTAGATTTTCTTGATGACGGTTTTTGTTTCTTTTTTTCATATAAGCACGAATATCTTATGAAATACAATGCGGGAGATTGTTAGCAAAATCAACGCCAGATTTATATAATGAAACCCGCAAAAGCAGTCTGCAAAAAAAATCTCAAAAATCAACGCGATTTTTTAGCCGGTTAAAACTTGCACATCATCAGACTAAAATCTAATAGGCTACAAAACTGCGTACTTAAAAATTTTCTAGAAAGTCTGAATTAAAAGTTGAAAATTATGATGATAATTTTTTGAATTTTTGTGAACTTTACCTATATAAAGCGTGAAATTTTGATTTATGTGATAGATTGAACTAAGTATAATTTCATAAATAATGAATGCAAATATTTTTTCTAGAAAATAATTGTGAATACAAAGTAGCACAAAGTGTAAACTTTCATTTGTCGCCTTGTGTATATATATATAGGGTGATACAAGGGCGATGCAGATAGTTGACAGCAATTATTTGCGGTATTTTAATGATTTTATTTTTTTATTTTTTCAGACAATTGGTTGTACAGGCTTTGACAAACTTATGCATGGAGCGTTACTCAGTTGAACAACTCGTAAAAGTTATCCAAACGTTGATGCCGACTTGAAAAAAAACAATAATTAATAGCGATGAGCCGCATTTTCACCTAAACGGATACGTTGACAAGCAAAACTGCCACCACTTCAAGAAAAAACAAATAACACTGTTTTCGGCTATGCTGAAGACTTCATATCCACATGAACATCAGAAAATTTTACTTCAACCCATTTTTCTATTTTAAGGAAGTTCATTGGGAGCTAATTGATTTACACTGTGAAATTTTCATTTATGATAAGAAAATAGGGGAAAAGATTTGTTGACCTTATCTACATGCATGGAGGAGTTATATAGCAGAAAGCTATATCTGAACAATTGGTTGTGTAGGACCGACATTGATGGTTTTCTCAGTGTAATTAATTAGTAAATAGCTCACGAAATTTTTCGATTTTAGCCATCTAAATGAAGGAGCTTTAAAGAAAAATATCATATCTGAACAATCTGTTATATGGGAGCCATATGTTATAGTGGAATGATTTTAACGGTTTCGACAAATGATACATTATAAAAAGGCACCCGCTTACCAAATTTCAGTCGGATATATCTTGGAAAATTTGTGGTTTCAACAGAATGGTGCCACTTACCACACAGCGCATGAAACAAGAGCCGTATTACGAAGATATGCGTTCTTATTGAATCACCCTATACATATACGCATACATACATACTTGTGTGCCCGCTTGTTTACAAAACAACTCATGTGTATGTAAATCCAATATCGAATTTCTTGTTTTCGCTTTGCCGCTTTAAATTTTCTAATTCTTTATTTGCATAAAGAAAAAAAATCAAGTAAAAAGTCTACGTTTTATGTTGCAGTCAGCACCGGTTAAGTTTACAACTTTTATGAATAATCACAATCTCTTTAGGTTTTCACTGCCGGCGCCGTTGATACGTCTAGGTTAAGTGGTGCATTAGTGTCGAATAAATTAAGTTATATATTCGGATCGGAAAACATTAATTAAAAGTCTGGCTCAGTTGCAAGTTATGTTGGTTGTTGATAAATATACAGAATGATACTGAAGTGTTGACCTGATAGCATCGTATAATTCTATACCTAACGCAACTCTTCTTCTTACCGTTTTTTTTTTGGCAGGCTATAGGTGTGTTTTTGGCTGGTGTGTTGGTGTATTTGGAATATATGTAGGCATTTTTTGGCAATAAGCAGTTGATAGCAAATTTAATAGTCTTTACTTATAGTTACAAAACGAAATTTAGACTGGCCAACTACATCCAAAGCAAATTGCAATTAAGTGAGTGCATTACTTTTCGGAACTCAAAAACCCGAAATTCGGATATATGTATTTCAAAAACTGTTCTACCCTCTTACATTTTAATTTCGTATTCGGATTCAATTTTTTTATTGCGATTTTTTTGCAAAAAAAAAACTGAGAAAAAATTATAGTTTCCACCAAAAAGCACGGAACAAGTTCTACATAATAGGCCAGCAATTTTTGATTCT